TTTGGCGGGTCCAGGCTGGGGATTCGAACCTGCCACCTTAGGTGTATGTGGCTGGCGCCTTAGCCGCTTGAGCCACAGGCGCCGAGCCACCACAAATATTCTTAATGACATCGAGAATGATGAATTGTTTCCAGAGGATTTTCGATTTCCTTTTCCCAGACCCATTAGAGGAATCACTGTCTATGGCATTACATACATAGTACAGCCTTATGTAATATTTTTCAACCTTTTTTTTTATCTCATAGCACACTTGAACCTATAGTTAAACCTTTGTGGCGCACTTAAACTATGTTGATCAATAAAAATGAGTAAAAAAAGGATATACTTCCTGTGCTTTGAACTTCTTTCAAAAATAATTTAATTAATGATCTTTAAAAAATGTCACAACACACCTTAGATCCTCTCATGGCACACCAGTGTGTTGTGGCACATTGGTTGAAAAGTCACTGCCTTACAAGATGTGTTTCTTAAATAATAAGGCTTGAAAATCAAAATTACTTCTTGATCTGTGGGCTACAGAATGGATTTTGTGTTAGCAGACATGAAAACAGCACTAATCTCATTGTACATCTCCATCAGAGCTCTGGGCTGAGCAGGTGCATTGTCACTGAGCAATAATGTTTTGAAAGGAATCTTGTGTTTTTTTTCTGAGCGGTAGGGTTTAACAAGGAGCTTAAAACATTCAGTAAACCATGCTGTAAACACATACGCTGTCATCAGGCTTTGTTGTTCCCCGTTATCAAGTACAGGCAAAGTTGATTTAGCCTAATTCTTAAGGGCCTAGGATATTCAGAATGGTAAGTGAACAGTGGCTTCAACTTAAGTCAACCAGTTGCATTAACCCCTAACAGGAGAGTCAGTCTGTCCTTTGCTTTGAAGCCAGGCATTGACTTCTCCATAGCTATAGAAGTCCTAAATGGCATCTTATTCCAATGTCCGGCTGTTTTATCTACACTGAAAATCTGTTGTTTAGTGTAGCTATCTTCATCAGTTATCTTTGGTGGATCTTCTGAATGCCTTGTTACAGCTTCTTCATCAGCATCTGCTGCTTGACCTTGCACTTTTATGTTACGGAGATGGCTTCTTCCCTTAAACCTCATGCGCTAACCTCTGCTGGTTTCAAACTTTTCTTGTGCAGCTTTCTCACCTCTCTCAGTCTCCACAGATTTAAAGACAGTTAGGGTCTTGCTCTGGATTAGGTTTGGGCTTAAGGTGGTGGCTCTCAACATTCCTAATGCCGTGACCCTTTAATACAGTTCCTGTGGGTCGCAGCCCACAGGTTGAGAGCCGCTGGCTTAGGGGAATGTTGTGGCTGGTTTGATCTTCTATCCAGACTACTCAAACTTTCTGTATACAACAATAAGGGCATTTCATTTTCTTATCATTTGTGTGTTCACTGGTGTAGCACTTTTAATTTCCTTCAAGAACTTTTCTGTTGCATTCACAGCTTTACTTTTCGTCACAAGAGGCTTAGCTTTTGGCCTGTCTTGGTTTCCAATATGCCTTTCTCACTAAGTTTAATCACTTCTACTTTTTGATTTGAAGTTAGAGATATATGACTCTTTCTTTCACTTAAACTCTTCCTTTCAATTAAATTAACTGGCTTAATTTCAATATTATGCCTTGGAATAGAGAGGCCTGAGGAAAGGGAGAGATGGGGGAATGGCTGGTTGGTGGAGCAGTCAAAGCACACATTTTTTGATTAAGATTACCAC